TGTCTCTGATTAGCTCATTATTGTTCGTGAATATGTGGTCCAGCGTGTTCTCGTTCCTAGTCAGTTCTGTAATCTGCTGACTGAGCGAGAATTTGTCACAGAATCTCAGTAGTTCTCTGACCTGTGATTGGTGATTGGTTTTACTTTGCCTTTGTTTTTCTCCCTTGTTATCTCTGTTTCTGTTCTATCTCTTTTATCTATGTTCTTCACTGGAATATTTGTGGTTTTTATGCCAACTTCCATGAACTCTAATTTCTAATTGCACAGTTTTTCTCGCTTTGTGTTTGTCTCCAGCAGCTGATGCTTGGTGCTTGTCCTGGTCGCTTCTGTGATTATTCCTTTCTTTTTTCCCCTCCAGCGTTTGCTGGGGCCCCATGCCTCTACTGCTCTCTTGATCCATCTTGATATTCCCTTCGTCCTTCTACAGTTTCAGTTGCCCATTCAGTGTTCTGTATCTTTGTGAGTAAATGGTATACAGTCTGTTTTGATACCATGAACAAAATACTGATTTGTTCATGGTATACAGTCTGTTCCATTTATTCCCCCCCCCCCTCCCCCGAATGTCCCACTTTCTCTTCCTGATCTTAAACACCTGTTGGACTCCTTACCAGAGCCTGTGCTCCTTTTGGGTTATTTTAACTGTCGGCATACTCCCTGGGGTGATGTTCTGACGAACACCCAGGGCCGCCTTCTTGAAGCTTTTGTCCTCTCTTCTCTTTCTCTTCTGAATTCTGGTGAGCCCACTCATGTTGACTCCTGCACTCGCACCCTTTCCTGTCTTGATCTTTCTCTCTGCTCATCTTCTCTTTATTTGGACTTCATCTGGCGGGTTCTTGATGACTTACATGAGTAACCATTTCCCCAGCCTTGTCACCTTCTTCTCTTTTCACCCTCCCCTCTCCTTCCCTAGGTAGCAGTTTGCCAGGGCTGACTGGAACCTCTTCACCTTGTGTGCTACTCTTTCTGACCTCTCTGATCTGCCTCTTTCTTTCACTGTTTTTTATGCTGCCCTCTGCTCTGTTCCTTGCTCTACCTTCTGGGGCATGCGGGAGTGCATTCCAGTGCAAGTGCAAGCACAGACTGTGCTGGGGCTGTCTGCTGTAAGCATGCAGCCTGGAAGAAACACTGTCACCGTAGGATGCCCGTTTCTTTTGTTTTGTTTTGGAGGGCAAGTGCGGGTGGCCCGTAGGGCTATCCGTACGGCTAAATGTGAGGATTGAAGATCTTTCATTTCCACCATTACGTCTGACACTCCTCTAGCCCCTGATCTGGGAAAAAAATCCGCAAGATAGCGGGTAAGTTTGTTCCAGATGTCTCGCCAGTCCTTCACCTCCGTGGTTCTATTGTGGCGGATCCAGTATTGGTTGGGACCAAACTGGGTTCTTACTTTTCAACTGTTAGCTCTGGCTCTCGTCTTCCTCCTCCTTTCCTTACTTGTAAGCCCCTTCTTGAATCTTCTTCCTTAGATTTTTGCACCTCTCTTTGGCTTCCCAATAACTATCCTTTCACTCTCTTAGAACTCCAGTCTGCCCTGGCCTTCTGCGGTTCTACAGCGGTGGGCTTGGATGATATTCATTATGAGATGCTTCTCCATCTCCCTCTATGCACGTTTCAGTATTTACTGAGGTTTTATAACAGTGTCTGGGAGTCGTCGTCAGTCCCTGAGGACTGGCTTGAGGCGGTTCTTCCTATTCAGAAACCTGGTACTCTAGGGTCATCCCCTAAAGGGTCATCCCCTAAAGGGTCATCCCACCATCATGTCACACTTATCAACCAAACGCATGTTTGTTATACAGTAGTCCATTAATCAATCTGGTTTATATATTGGTTGTTTTGTTGTTCTGTTCACCTTGCCAATGTTCACCATTGTACCAGTGTGAATGCTTGTCAACATATTCTTCTCTCCTCTCTTTCCACCTCACTGAGAGTATTTGATCAGTTTTTCTTACCTGGCAGTCACCTACTTCAATATTATTGTCAAACACGGGCATTTCCCTTCTTGCTTTTACTGTGCCACACACTCCAGTTCTATTATCGAGCAAGAACCTAGTTAGCAAGGGACTTGTATAATAGTTATCTGTTTATAAAATGTGGCCTTTGTTCAGCCATGGTGCCATAAGTGTCTTCACCACACTACCTGAGAAACCATGTTGGTTATTACCGGGAATGTTTACATTGGTAGCAGAATACAGAATCATGTGGAACACAATTCCCGTTTCACAGTCACAGAGAACAAAGAATTTCAATCCAAATTTGTGGCATTTGGAGGGAATATACTGCTTGAAGGCAACACGTCCTTTGAAAAGCACAAGGGATTTGTAAGTCACCAACTTCTGAGCTAGTACAGTACATAGAAATCTCTGAACTTTCCAATCGGTTGATTGAGAACGTGCCTCACTCTCCAAAGTCTATCATCCTCTGTTCGGTCTTCATTACTTGCAAAATATAGACACTTGAGGAGTATCTGAAACCTGTCTTGAGACATATCTTTCCCGAACAAAGATGCTGGAACAGTGTGGTCTTTGCTCCAATAATCTGAGATGACGTGTTTTACACAATGTCTCATCAACATACATAGTGCAAAAAATGCATACATTTCACCTACATTAGCGTTTTTCAAACGCTGTATTCATGAGAAAATCTGTTAACTCATGTTCAATGACATGAGCAGCATAAATGTTCGCTTCCTGAACAATATGTTCTATGAGCGGCTCATCATAATATGCAGTAAAAAAAAGTCCATTTCACACATGTCCTCACCAGTATCAAGGAAAAGGTCTCTAATCCCAACATCTTTATTGACAAAGGCAGTAAGTAGTAGAACAATATCTTCACCATCACTCCACACAAGTATACCTGATGTTTTGCAAGACGAAACCACGGCAAGGAATCGTTGCACACCGTGGACCAGGAGCTGAAGCCCGTCTGTCCATAGTACGGGCGTGAACTGAAGATGAGGTATAATCAGGTGAACATGAGGGGCTTTGTTCATCATTGTCTCCATGTGGTGCCATGCGACAGCGCTTGACTGGATGCATTGCTGATGCGGCAAAACATCGCTTGGTAACACCACTGCCACTGGCAACAGGCCCTCTAATACCATTTTCTGATTCAACTTCACTAAAACCAGAAAGAGAGTCAGCTTTCTCTGACTCGTCGCCAAAAATATCCTCATACTGCAAATAACCACAAGAACTGTGTAGTCGGGAGCAAATTGGTGTAGAGAGTGGGCAAGGAAGCAGTGGTGAATGTGTAGGCCTCGCCCTGGGAGCAGGCTGTATCTCATTCTCACTCTGTTAGTCCCATTGGACTCCTGTGTATAGTCTTTATTGACGTCAGAGTCATCAGTATCACTTTCCTCACCATCGGAAAATAATTCAGTATGAATTTCATCCTTGGTCAATGATTGTGTGGTGCGGTGCACTGAGCGGGGTCAGGCGTTGGGACGTGATGCGCTCGCCATCGTGTCTGATGGGTAACTGAGGCCCCCACACAATGGTGGCCTATGCTGGATTTTTCCCAAAATCGCATCTGTTTACGACCCTGGGCAGCGGATGGGTCCTCCTCCTAACCTGCGGGACGTTTAAACCTTGCGTGGTACTCCAACACATCAGTAGCTGTGGTGCGCAATTCTGCATCAGTTATTCACCTCAGCTATTGATGTGTTGCACAGTTTATGGGTTAATTAGCACACAGGAAGCATGAGAATCCAAGTAAAGAGTCTCTACCTCTTGTAGTTTAGCTGTAGTGGCCTGGAGAAGTTGCGTTTTTCTTTGGGGAACCTCCGTCGGTTCCCTGATATATCTGATATAACCTACTGATATAATGCTATACTAGTTGGGTTCATCAGTCGCAGAGTTCTTGTTGCCTGCCGGGAACCAGAGCCAGAACCTGGCCCCCTCAGAGAGGCGCATGGGAGCAGTGGCCAATGAGCACTTTGTATTTAAAGTATGTCATACTTGTCATCAACCAGGAAAGGACCCAGAAAAGTAGGCGAATCAAAACAGACCACTCTGGTTAAAAATTGCGAGCTTTGTCCTCAAAATAGTGAAACAACTGCATAAAGAAAACAAAAAGCAACATTTCATTCGACTAGCACCCCTCCACCACTGACACCATTAACACTACCTGCCTCCCCTGAAAGCTTCCAGCACTGACACCACCTGCCTTCCATGACAACAACTTCCACGACCTTCCCCCTGATATCAATTTCCACCACTGACACCTCCAGTCTTTTCTCACACCAACTTCCACCACTGACACCACCAGTCTTTTCTGACAACAATTTGAACACTAACTCGACTTGCCTCCAATGAGAATAACTTTCATCACCTGCCCCCTGATACTAAATCCCAACTACTGACACCACTTGGCCCCCCCCCAGACTCCAACACTCACCAATAACACCACCTGCCTACCCTGACACCAATTTATCATCCTACAACCTGGAATTAACAACTACGACTATCATTGTTTCTCCCTGGAAACAATTGTAAGCAAAATAAAACACTGTATAAATGTTAACATATTGTTGAATCATAGTTGATGACAGCCACCTCTGACGCTCGGTCTCGGTGACCGCTTGGATGAGCAATCTTCCCTTAATCCAACATTTGTGTGTTCCACTGAACATTTAGTACCAAATGCAATTTGTTCGGATCATCCGGGAATTCATTAGAGTGTGGTTCGTTAGTGAGGATGCCCTGTATATAAATGAGATTTGGTGGATATAAATAGGAGCTGCCTCATATGGGCCAATAGGCCTTCTGCGGCTTCCTTGATTCTTACGTACTGTTATTATTTTGTAACAAGTAACATTATTCCAGAAGTCTATAGTTAGATATGCTATTGACACCTGCCATTGGTACGAATTGGTATTAATATTTCTTGTTGCATACTAGTGGTGTAATGAGTGTATGGGTAATATTTTGCTATTGTTGCTTATATATTGCAATAAGTTTATGAAATTATGTAATATTAATGAAGCTTATTTGTTTCAGAATTCATGACAAATGGTGGCTGAAATGAAGGTACTGCAAGACATAGGAATTTATTTTGAGCCATATTTTTTGGGGAAGTGGAACTTGGACAGGGATTTTCCTAAAATACCTGCAAACAAGTTGCATATGCCGATTCTTCGAAGCCACACTAGGAAAAACACAGCGGAAAATCATGGCATTGCTAACTTGTCTGTTACATTTGGGAAACCGTCAAAACGTGTCACTGAAAATGTCCAGAGAGTGGACATACTTTTTAAAATTGTTACCCCAGAAAAGCAAAAGGAAACTAGAGGCACAGGGTGTGAGAAAAAAGTAAACACGTTTCAAACTATTGGAACCCCAGCAGGAGAGAATTCTAAAGATTTGTCTTCTCCAGAAATGCTAAGAGAAAGGAGCCAGACAACCCACAATAAAGAGAATGCTGTAGAATTACGCAGACCCTCAAAGAGAAAAGCCGCAAGGGATGCTACATTGCTTTTAAAAGAAATTACAAACCAAATAAAAAATACTAAAAAAAATACAACAAAACGTTTAAATGAAAATAAAGATATATCCAAGGACGGTGATCTGATTCAGATTGAACAAAATGAACAAGAAAAATCTAAAAGACAGAGAATCAAGGAAGACAATCCAACTTGGAATGAAGAAGAAAAGTCTTGCAGACAAAAATCCAAGAAAGAGCATCCAACTGTGAATGAAACAAAATTATCAAAGAAACGGAGATCAAAGGAAGAGAATCCAATTCTGAAAGAACACAAAAATTCCAAACAACATAGATTAAAAAAAGACATTCCATCTCCGAATGGAATAGAGAAGTCTTACGTAAGTGGATCCAAGGAAGACCATCCAGCACAGTGTGAACGAGAGCTATCAAAGAGACAGAGATCAAAAAAACAAAATCTAACCCTGAATGAACAAGAAAAAATTGAGGTTCAAATCAATGTCGTCAAGCAGAAAAAGAACAAAAAAGGGCAGCAAGTATGTGGTGATGAGATTGAAGGTGGACAGGAAAATGCTAATAAAGCCGTTAGGAAGCATAATGAATGCAACAAGCCTGAAAAAGATACCTCTGTCCAGATAACAAGAGGAAGAACATGTAAGGGAAGAAAGTTCCTCGTAGAAGATAGTGACAATGAGGTCAATATAACATGGGTGGAATCGGATAATGAGGATCGTGATGCAACTTGGGTGGCGTCAGATAATGGCGGAAAGAAACGCAGGAAAAATATAGGTGTGAAAAACGACAATAAAACCCAGAAGATAGCTGGTAAAAATATTACTGCATCAAAGGGAAAGGACAATGAAAGTGTAAAGAAGCAAGGTAGTAAACAAGGCAGTAATCTTAGCTTAAGTGAACAGGCAAAGTGTAAAGCTGAGAGGGTAAAGGCCACAAAAGTACCTCAAGAGGGCAAAGAGACTAACAAAAGGAAAAAAACGAGTGAAGAAAATTGTAAGGAGCCTCGTAAACCTGAGGGTATGTTAATGATTTTTATATATGCAGTGTATTGCTGTACAGTTCAGTACTGTACTGTACTTCTAATTATGCATCTTTAGTTTTGTAATACTGTACATGTTACTGTGTTATTTATCTATCCAGTTGCTCAGTAGTTTTATTTCTGTTTATTAACTTTTATAAAGTACAGTACATCGTGTCTCTTTCAAGTTCATTGGTAAGGGGCACTAGCTTCGAAGCCATACCCTAGCGTACAAGCTATTGAAATCCATCATTAATGCATAGAAATATAAAGGTTACTGGTGTTTATAACAATCCTTATAGCAAACCTTGCACAGGGACACTCTCCTAGGGGCCAAACAAGGTTTAAAGTATCCAACTAGGAGAAAATAATAATTTGGTTCTCTACAAAGGGCTTTATTTCTAGAGCTTAATGTTACTTTACAAGATAACTATTAAAATGGAAGTAATATTTTCACAGAACCTGTATTACAGGGTACTTGGAATAGTTACTTTGAACACTGGTCCCACTAAAACTGAGACTTAAAGTCTTTCCGTTACTTTACAGTCTTCTCACTTGCAGATTCCAGATATTCTAACAGACTAACAGACAAGGTGTTACTTTACATTCTTCTCACAGCTCTAATTGCAAATTCCAGATATTGTAACAACACAAAGTTTTTACTAGTTAATGAACAAAAATCATGGACAATGACTGGTACAACACACAACACGTGCTCAGAAATGCCTTCTGTTGGATGGACGGATCAAACAACGCTTATTATCAGCTGAACACTGGGACATGTACTCTATCTATCTATCTATATATATATTATATTTATGTATTTATTTATTTATTAATTAATTAAATAGGGGTGGTAGGAGAGGAAAAGATTAAGGTATTCAGTGAGAATCCACAAGGTCTTCTCTGAACACTCTTTGTTTTGAGTATTCAGTGAAGACCTTGTGGAAAAATAAACACTATATGGTCCCATATAGTGTTTATCGCACTATATGGGACCAACTCCAGTGCGTTGGATTCATTGCAAGAGGTGACCTTCAAGAGGCGTTTGTGTCAATGTCTTTTTTTTTTCTTGTAAACAATAAAAATGCATTATCATATTATATGCTGAACCTATATATTACTACTCTACTAAAAAATACTGTTACAGTTGTTATTTGCCTTATTGTTGGAGTTATGTCCATCTTGAATTCTCATGGAGTTGAAATTTAACACTGATTCTAACTGTACACTCCACACACAATGTTCTTAGATGTTTGCATCAGCTTCGCTGGTGCTCTGCTGCTGTGTTTGCTTCAGCTGCTTCTGAGCTGGTGCTGGCTGCTGTTGTACCGGTGCTGACTGCTGTTGTACAGGTGCTGGGTACAGCTGTGCTCGTGCTGGGTACAGCTGTGCTCGTGCTGGGTACAGCTGTGCTCGTGCTAGGGTACAGCTGTGCTCGTGCTAGGGTACAGCTGTGCTCGTGCTGGGGTACAGCTGTGCTCGTGCTGGGGTACAGCTGTGCTCGTGTTGGGGTACAGCTGTGCTCGTGCTGGGTACGGCTGTGCTCGTGCTGGGTACGGCTGTGCTCGTGCTGGGTACGGCTGTGCTCGTGCTGGGTACGGCTGTGCTCGTGCTGGGTACGGCTGTGCTCGTGCTGGGTACGGCTGTGCTCGTGCTGGGTACGGCTGTGCTCGTGCTGGGTACAGCTGTGCTGGTTGATTTTCTACTACTAGTTAATGCAAAATATTGCTTAATTTTTGGCATTAATAAGGCACTGTTAGCAAGCCTCTGAAACATGACCTTGTATCTGGTCAAAGCCCCAGCTTTGACCAGATAAAAGGTATCATTTGGGAGATGAAATACTTCAGGAGTCAGAGAGAGAGAGCGAGAGAGAAAGACCTGGGCGTTGATATCACGCCAGACCTGTCCCCTGAAGCTCATATCAAGAGGATAACATAAGAATGGCATTTAGAAACTTGTGTAAGGAATCTTTCAGAACATTATATACACATGTCAGACCAATCCTGGAGTATGCGGCTCCAGCATTGAGTCCATATCTAGTCAAGCATAAGACTAAATTGGTAAAGGTTCAAAGGTTTGCCACCAGACTAGTACCCGAACTGAGAGGTATGAGCTACGAGGAGAGACTACGGGAATTAAACCTCACTTCGTTGGAAGACAGAAGAGTTAGGGTGGACATGATCACCACATTCAAGATTCTCAAGGGGAATCAACAGGGTAGATAAAGACAGGTTATTTTACACAAGGGGCACACACACTAAGTGACACAGGTGGAAACTGAGTGCCCAAATGAGCCACAGAGATATTAGAAAGAACTTTTTTAGTGTCAGAGTGGTTGACAAATGGAATGCATTAGGAAGTGATGTTGTGGAGGCTGACTCCATACACAGTTTCAAGTGAAGATATGATAGAGCCCAGTAGGCTCAGGAACCTGTACACCTGTTGATTGACGGTTGAGAGGCGGGACCAAAGAGCCAGAGCTCAACCCCCACAAGCACAATTAGGTGAGTACACATGTACACACACACACACACATATACATATATATAATGCAAACAAGCCTGAATGGTCCCCAGGCATACATGCAACTGAAAATTGCACCCCAGAAGTGACTCAAACCCATACTGCCAGGAGCACTATGCAACTGGTGTACAGGGCATCTTATCCACTCGACCAAGGGAGCCGGTCGGCCGAGCGGACAGCACGCTGGACTTGTGATCCTGTGGTCCCGGGTTCGATCCCGGGCGCCGGCGAGAAACAATGGGCATAATTTCTTTCACCCTATGCCCGTGTTACCTAGCAGTAAAATAGGTACCTGGGTGTTAGTCAGCTGTCACGGGCTGCTTCCTGGGGGTGGAGGCCTGGTCGAGGACCGGGCCGCGGGGACACTAAAGCCCCGAAATCATCTCAAGATAAGAGATCACGACCGAACAAAAGCTGATGGTAGCTGAGGCTATGCCACCGCCACTCTGATGGTAATCTTGGGCATAGTATTTTATCAAATCATCTCATTATTTGAGGCACATGTGAGGAACACAAATGCGAGTTTTCAGTTGCATGTATGCCTGGGGACCATTCAGGCTAGTTCGCATTTGTGTTCCTCATGTGTGCCCCAAAGAATGAGGTGATTTGATAAAATACTATGCCCAAGATTACCATCAGAGTGCCGGCGGGCTTCATTTGTTTTCACCTTGGCCAGGAATCGAACCAGGGCCCTTAGGACTACAACCCCCGAGCGCTGTCCACTCAGCCGCGAGGCCTCGAGGCTGGTGTGCTGCCAGGTGACTATGCATTTAACTCCTCAGTCCCCCTAGCTTTACACATCAGTCATGTAGACCCGTCTCATTCCCAATGGTGTTCTTATAGTCCCAGGTATTCAAATAAGTGATGGCCGTCCTGGACTTTGTCCTGCAAAGGCCATTTGCTGGTGTACTCATTCTATATTTTAGTATTTTCTTTAATTGCATATACTGTGTGTAATTACCTAAGTGTAGTTACAGGATGAGAGCTACGCTCGTGGTGTCCCGTCTTCCCAGCACTCTTTGTCATATAATGCTTTGAAACTACTGACGGTCTTGGCTTCCACCACCTTCTCACCTAACTTGTTCCAACCGTCTACCACTCTGTGAAAGTGAATTTTCTTATATTTCTTCGACATCTTTGTTTAGCTAGTTTAAATCTATGACCTCTTGTTCTTGAAGTTCCAGGTCTCAGGAAATCTTCCCTATCGATTTTATCAATTCCTGTTACTATTTTGTATGTAGTGATCATATCACCTCTCTTTCTTCTGTTTTCCAGTTTTGGCATATTTAATGCCTCTAACCTCTCCTCGTAGCTCTTGCCCTTCAGTTCTGGGAGCCACTTAGTAGCATGTCTTTGCACCTTTTCCAGTTTGTTGATGTGCTTCTTAAGATATGGGCACCACACAACCGCTGCATATTCTAGCTTTGGCCTAACAAAAGTTGTGAACAATTTCTTTTTTTGGTCGGCCGAGCGGACAGCACGCTGGACTTGTGATCCTGTGGTCCAGGGTTTGATCCCGGGCACCGGCGAGAAACAATGGGCAGAGTTTCTTTCACCCTATGCCCCTGTTACCTAGCAGTAAATAGGTACCTAGGTGTTAGTCAGCTGTTACGGGCAGCTTCCTGGGAGTGGAGGCCTGGTCGAGGACCGGGCCGCGGGGACACTAAAAAGCCCCGAAATCATCTCGAGATAACCTCATCATCATCTCAAGATAGTATATCACCATCCATGTATTTAAAAGCAATTCTGAAGTTAGAAAGCGTGGCATAGGCTCCTCGCACAGCGTTCTTTATGTGGTCCTCGGGTGATAGTTTTTTATCTAGAACCACCCCTAGATCTCTTTCTTTATCAGAATTCTTTAAAGATTTTTCACATAATACATAGGTTGCGTGGGGTCTATGGTCTCCTATTCCACATTCCATAACATGGCATTTATTAACATTAAATTCCATTTGCCAAGTGGTGCTCCATATACTTATTTTGTCCAGGTCATCTTGAAGGGCATGACAATCATCTAAGTTTCTTATCCTTCCTATTATCTTAGCGTCATCAGCAAACATGTTCATATAGTTCTGTATACCAACTGGTAGATCATTTATGTAGACAATAAACATCGCTGGTGCAAGAACTGAACCCTGTGGTACTCCACTTGTGACATTTCTCCAGTCTGATACATTGCCTCTGATTACTGCCCTCATTTTTCTATCAGTCAGAAAATTTTTCACCCATGTTAAAAGCTTACCTGTCACCCCTCCAATATTTTCCAGTTTCCAGAACAACTTCTTATGTGGAACTCTGTCGAAAGCCTTTTCTGGGGGGAGCCCCGTCGGCTCCCCGGAGCTTTACCAGGCTGATATGATAATGTCAGACTTTGGCATCAGTCATGTGTATGGAGTTCTAGGGCCTACCGGGGACCACGGCCAGAACCTGGCCCCCTCAGAGAGGCAAGGGGAGCAATGGCCTATAGAAACCC